CAGTATTAAACTGGAGAGGATATATTTTTTCTCCAGTAAAAACTATTGTTTCATATAAATAGTTTCTGATCTACTCTATCAGTATTAAACTGGAGAGGATAGATTTTTTCTCCAGTAAAAACTATTGTTTCATATAAATAGTTTCTGATCTACTCTATCTGTCACAATGTAATGATCTGTCTCTATTAAACAATGATGTATTGCCTTCCTTTAATAACCATAAATATTAAGAGTTCTCATGAGCAGTTCCATCGCAGGCTATGCTTTGTGTCAAATACAGCAGTGGATAGAAAATTACGCATGCATTATGCAGGTTATCACTAAATTGGCTTCCAATACTATTTGTATCTGAACACAGTTTTCATTACATTAACCAAGCGAAAGACGATTAAAAATACATAAAGAGTTTCCGCTACAGAACTACAACCATTACACAAAACATTCTTATTAACAAATACAAGAGAAAAGAAAGCTATTACCAGCAACGCCAAACACTGAAGCGGTAGAGGAAGATGGGTGGCTAGGGTAAAATCCCCTGCCTTCTTGAAGAAAGTTCTGGCGACAAAACTCTGAAGAACGTGCCGGGTGAAAGCTGCTTTGGCGCCTGCTGCAGCCTTGGCTTTGAGTCGCTTGCTAAGCCTTCTGTTGAAGGGTTTTACTTCCATGGGCCGATTGGTCATCAGAATACGTGTGCAAGGTTCCGTTTTTAGATCAAATAGAACGCGCAGAGAAAGTTAATATTGTTGTTTCTTACCGACGAAAACGTATTCAGGGATTTTTATGTAATGTCGTAAAGTATCAACTTGTTAATTTTTTTTTTCAAGAAGAATAACTTGTGGTTGATCAAATTATTTTTATTTTCCTTATTTACAAAGCAAAAATAATATATATGTATGTATAAGTAAACACACACAATTACTTCTAATTTTTAGACAACTTATTACGAGAAATTCACTGTTTACTGTTTTAACGACGGCACTGGGGAGGCTATTCGAACCACCTAAATGATATAACTTCGTTTTCCAAATTCTACGTCATTCAGCCACTTGATTCTTGTGCTATACCGCGAGCTCGTTTGCTATTGATTGTGGTGAAAAGCCTTATTATGACTGTGTCAGTCTCCAATCAACAGGTGGCGTGGTGTCATCTGGTAAATCACGTGGCAATCGTCTGTATGGAAAGAAAACAGACCACTGAAAAAAGAAGATACTATGACATATCACTTTGTAACTTGTAATATTATTACAGCTCAAAGACCAAGTTAATTATTCATATCTCATAGCCACAGCTTAGCTATAAATACCTAATTCATTAAACTCTAAACTAACTGAAACATCAAACGTTGCTTACTGAATTGAAACAATTGCTAAACATCGAATATGTCTAAGAGGACAGGAACATGTATATCTAACTTTAAATACTACCAACTATTAAGGACAAAAAATATGACTTATTTTACATATAAAAAATAAAGGAATAACCAATTAAGACTAGCATGGGTATCGAAAGTAAATAGAAGGATTACTCTGAAAACAGATCATCAACAAACAATAATCCAAAACAAAACAAACAGTGGATTATTAGTATATTCAGGATAAACATTACGCACCATTTGCTTAACTATTCACTAAGAAAACGTGTGTTTAAATAGGAGAAAAAAAAGTGTAAATGCAATTTTAAAATTTCCAAGTTTCCACTGTAGCTTCACTTGTTTGGGAGTTAGAATTTAAGATAAATCATTGCTAAAATAATTGATTAATAGTAATTTCAGGAAAACAACATAGGGAGGGCTATGACTAACGTTACTGCGCGCGAAAAAGAATGTCAGAACTAATGTGCTTCACGCGGAGATTCCCTCATGAATTAACCATGATCGAAATGAGGAACTCGCTGGTGTGAACATTCAATTTATAAAATAAAATAAGTTTGTCTGACTAATCTCAAAACCATTAAATTATGTTCCGTAGGAAAAACATCTGCAGCAATTTCTTTATTAAATCCTTTTTTTAATTTTTTTTCCGTCCAGGGCTCCTCACCTACGTGTTGATAATCTAATGTAGGTAGATCCGCATACAGATACGGTTCAATAGCCCCAAATATTTGTTAGCGTAACACTTGAAAAATGTAATGTAAGATACATATATATCAACTTATTAATAAGAGGGAATGTTTTCAAAATCAGGAGCCCCCGTTTCCTTATTTTATTAACGGCTGAAACTCGTTAGGAGAGACAAGCTCCCACGAGCACAGAAAACTCCAAACTCCTATTCATGTTACCTTAGCTTTCTAGCACAATGTGTAATCCATCTAACTGAAACTTCCAAAGCTGAAAGGTATTAAAACAGCTTACCATACTAAACCTTGTCACTTACTGCTAGTAAAGTTGGAAACTCGAGTATCGCTAACACAACAGGAAATTCCTTCTCAGATTCCAGAACGACATATATAATATCCTACAAGCTGGTGTATTTTATTCTTTTACTTAGCAACAAACGCTGGGAACATACTATAGATTGTGTTACGAAATAAGCCATACACAGAAAACTTCCAAAATGAAACCATATAACATTTTCCTTGAGGTTTCAATACAAATTTATTCTACAGACACAATGGATTATTTTAATAAATAGAATTACGACAATTTCCCAGTCTTCAACGAACAAAAGTAAGATTTTTGTTTATTTTACAATGAAATATTTATTTTAATATGAAGATTATTGCACGTGCTTCAAAATATCACCAATAAAAAAACAAAACGATATTTGAATAATAAAATAATTCCTGTCTCACCTAAGTTTAATACAGTAAATTAAATATTTTCATCTATCATACCGAGAGTTAACAATAAGTTATAAGGAACAAACGGATGTAATAATATGTCAATCATACTGTATCTGCGTATCTGACATATCCAGTTATGGCGAGGACTTCACAGGTTGTTTGTTTGTTTTTGAATTTCGCTCAAAGCTACACGAGGGCTATCTGCTCTAACCTTCCCTAAATTAGCAGTGTAAGACAAGAGGGAAGGCAGCTAGTCATCACCACCCACCGCCAACTCTTTTACCAACAAATAGTGGGATTGACCGTCACATTATAACGCCCCCACGGCTGAAAGGGCGAGCATGTTTGGTGTAACGGGGATTCGAACCCGCGACCCTCTGATTGCGAGTCGAGCGCCCTAACCACCTGGCCATGCCGGGCTCACAGGTTGCATCAGGCCGGCTGCAATACGACAGACATTTCTTGCACAACAACAGTTTAGGTGTGGACGAGTTTAAGTTGCTGAATTGTAATTTTTATCAATTTCTTTAATCATTACACACTAGAATTAGGTTTATTATTATTACGAGCATTAAAATATTTATATATTTTTAGTACCAAATTATCTGTTATTACTACATGTATTATTTATTTTATTTGAATTAAGTTTACTTAACATTCGGAAGAACTGGTGAACCAGTAAGCTTAGTTTTTTTTTTTTTATCCTGGAGCGGGTCAAAGGGACCACAACAACGTTAACTGACATGAATAATGCAGATAAAGCAAACTGTGTTTTCCATAGCTACCACGTAACACGATAAATAGAAAGATATGCATGTCTCAGTTACTAGAAATTTTAGAAATTCTTGATTTAACGTGGAAAAATCGGAACTTGTAAACCGAGAATTCTTAACTATGTTACTTTTTTGCGTGGTTTAAACACACCTGTTTCTTCTCATTGTTTTTCTTATCAAATATCTCACAACCATAGTAAATGAGAACTGACATACAAGAAACTAAACGTTCTTAGACAAACTTACAGCATTAGCTCAAGAGTTTGTTTTAGATCATGTTTCAAAGTGCTGTGACTACGTTACTGACAAACGTATGTCGTGGTGGTAATATTAAGACTACAGTCACGCAACTAGAATAGGTTATTCCATACTGCTTTACTGTGATACTTTCAGTGATTTTCAAAAACACCGGTTTAATTGCACTTTACATACTAACAGAGTGGAACGTCGCCACAAATGGCATTACAGACAACATACCCAGCCGTTTGATTCATGGGGTTTTCCTGACCATTATACAATACCGGAATACATTTATGGCAGTAGAAAACATGTAATAGTTTTATTCAATAAAGTATGTTCGCACACAGAGTAACTGCTGACGATCTAGAACCACAGACAGAACATTTCGAGAAAAACACTGTTTAGTTGGCCTGTCATTGTCAAGACTTGTTGTCTGACTTCACAGACAACAGTACGCAACCATGGCATGATCGGCTATGGAGGAGGTTCCTAGGGCAGAACGAGTCATAGAACATCGTTCTATGGAAACACGATTAACCTTGGTAAATATATCCAATATCATTCGGCAATAGCTGATCATGCTAATTTACTGGATATATATTCTGGTGATGATTTGAGTATTAATTAAGGAGAAAAAAACTCGTGATTCTCGTACGAATCATCTTTTATATTGATTGTATTGTTCTGCATTTGAATGCACAGAGTTTACAAAATGTAGAGATAGTGCTGTATATTTCAAGTAATTAAAACAGTTTCTCGTGTGAAAGGTTTCTGAACGAATCTAATGAGCCGCAATGTTTGATCCAAAATCACAAACCGATCGACTTTTCTAGTAGGAAACACCAGATCTAGCGAAGCTTCCAAAACCTGGGTATCAGAGTCGAGCATTAAAACTCAACAGGGTATTTCAAGTGTTTATAAACAAATAAAGTCACAAGTAAAACCTTAACACATAAATACTGCTGTTTGAGATGGAACTCTGAGAGATGATAGATCCATTCCCCAAATACTCCCCCCCTTTTCTATGCATAGTACTATCTACACCCACCCGTCCCTTATATATGGTAGTGTCTTTCGTACTTCCCTGCTCCTAATTAATTTTGTTTCATAGTTTAAAGAAGTTTAAAAAGCCCCCCCTCCCCCACTCGTTACTCTTTAAAATATATAGGTACAGAAAAGTGACCTAGAATTACGTGTTATCACGTCATACAAAGTTAAGTCGAACGGTTGTAACCGCTTTTAAATAAACATGCCTACAATTTCGAGTTGTTGTTATTTTTTAAAAACCCCAAAAAATTTTCTTTGGGATTACTTCAGAAATAACAAAATATTTAGATTAACATAATACTTATGTTACTGTTTTTATTTTTCAAGATGAATTCATAATTTGACAAAAATTTATGAGGTAACCACAAAATGATATATTCAAAGCGAAAAAATAAGCTTGACGTCCAAACTTTCTTTAACGACTCTACATCACACTATTAGAAAATTACAATTTCTCCAAACCTATATAAAATAGAAGGATCTGTAGCATGTTATAACGTTCTCTGGAATTTACACCAAACATGAGAAGTAGTATCTAAATTTAAAAAATGGAATAAATGTTTCAACTTAATACGAATTTACGTTATTTGATAAATATGACTCACGTGTAACTTAGTCCACATCACAATCGATGTTTCTCATCACACGTAAATTCTGTTACAACAACAACGACGACGTGTAAATACACAAACCATCCAAGTTAATATTAAAGAACAATTTTCCAACGTGCTTGTGTACATAAATCGATATACTTCCACTTCCAGAAGTAATAATATAAACAAACCAAATTCTCGGTCTAAATCATAACTAATGCAGACTGGATCGTAGTAGTTAATGTACAAAGATAGTTAGCTTTATACCATGAGGAGCACTTCATCAACGAAACCATGGGACGAAAAACGTGTTTGATATTTATAAGGAGCATATATACGATCGACGAACGTTTCGAAACAATGAAATTCTATCATCAGTGGTAAAGTATAAAAGGAAACAAAGGTTATCTACGATTATGTAAAACAATGACGTGATAAAATGTACTTGAAAACAGAAGAAGTAATAAAATCACTGACTAAACATACTTAATTATCCATTGTTTATTAATTCTTCCGCTTTCATTAGCTAATCTTTGTTTCAAAGATCCATTTGATCATGACTGTTCCTTTTATACCTTTAATTACCGCTTATGGTGAAATAACGTTTATTAATGTACTTGAAAACAGAAGAAGTAATAAAATCACTGACTAAACATACTTAATTATCCATTGTTTATTAATTCTTCCGCTTTCATTAGCTAATCTTTGTTTTAAATATCCATTTGATCATGACTAT